TAACTCTGACAACTCTGAAAGCAGGTTGAAGGTGAATAAATGTCCAACTGTTGGGTGTCCTAATTCTGTCTGGATTCCAATAGGAGTTACACATCCCTTTACAAGCCAGCACAATGTGACTTGCAGGTAGGTTTCCAAAGTTCTGGTAACTTTTGCTAAATGACCAGGTTTTCCAGAAATCATGGTTGGAAGTTTCCTGGAAACGGAAGCAGGAAATCCAAAATCCTTCAACCAGGATTTTTTGAAAATCTGTCAATTTTGAAACTCCTGGTTTACAGGCCACATCAGGTTCCTATTAGAATCCATCCAGTGTGGCAATATCCACATTTAGGAATGTTTTATAACATTTACATTTACGTCATTTAGCAAACGCTCTTATCCAGAGCGACTTACAAATTGGTGCATTCACTTTATCACACGCAACTAGGGCTGTGGCGGTCATGACATTTTGACAGCTGGTTATTGTAATGCAAAATGTTGCCGGTCTGACGGTAATTGACCGTTCATTAACATAAACACATTTAGCACCTCCCGGCCTCCACACATGCAAGCCGCTGATGCCCGCCTTTGGAACATCTACATTTAAAAAAACTTTAATAAATCAATTGAATATACACCGTCACAATAAATCCATTATTTTATTTTAGGCAGGTCTAAAGAAACATTATGATATGAATAACCATTTATTTCAGAAGAACAGAATATGAGTTGGCCTACTGTATGTTATCTGGCTATACTCCATGCCATAGACTGTAGGCTTGTTCATTTAGCAGACAAAATATGCTAATAAGTCCTGTGCCATTATTTTATTTTATAGTAAGAAGAATATAATTGAACTTAGCTGAATAAAATAGAGGATATTTTTCCCATTCCGGAGCGAGAGTGAGCATATGAAGTGGCTATCGTGAGCGTAGAAAAGTGATCTAATAAGCTACTTGGCAACTTTAGTTGTGAATTATACAAACCTTAGAATGCCTTAGAAATCAAAAGATATATGGGCTGCATGGTGGGACTATAGGCTATTGACGATTTGAGAAAGTTGCAAAAAAAACTCCCCACTATACCAACTAACCCTACACCCATTAAAACCTCCCCACTATACCAACTAACCCTACACCCATTAAAACCTCCCCACTACACCAACTAACCCTACACCCATTAAAACCTCCCCACTACACCAACTAACCCCTACACCCATTAAAACCTAACCACTATACCAACTGAACCCTACAACCTCATTAAAACCTCCCCACTATACCAACTAACCCTACACCCATTAAAAACCTCCCCACTATACCAACTAACCCTACACCTCATTAAAACCTCCCCACTATACCAACTACCCTACACCCATTAAAAACCTCCCACTATACCAACTAACCCTACACCCATTAAAACCTCCCCACTATACCAACTAACCCTACACCCATTAAAACCTCCCCACTATACCAACTAACCCTACACCCATTAAAACCTACCCACTATACCAACTAACCCTACACCCATTAAAACCTCCCCACTATACCAACTAACCCTACACCACTATCCCACTTCTTGGCCCTAACTGATCCTGCACCAGGCCTGCAGCCTGGGAGGATGGGACACTATCGTTCAACACACCTTGTAACTCTTCTGAAGTATTTTTTTTTGTGTTTTACGTTCCATTTCTGCAGTACAGTGGATAACCATTGGCTATGCCACCCATTGTACAACTGACTGCAACTCTTTGTTTAGGGTTGCAGTGATTTCAGTAGCTGTGGTTGCTGATGTGTATAATGATGAATCACCAGCGTACACAGACACACTGGCTTTGATTTTAAGGCTAATGGTAGATAATTAGTAAAAACAGAGAACAGTAAAGGGCCAAGATGGCTCCCTGGCGGAATGCCACACTTTACATGTTTTACTTTAGAGAAGCTTCCATTAAAGAAAACCCCTCTGTGTTCTATTCGATAGATAGCGCTCAGCTCTTTATGCAGATGACACTGTTGTGTACTCTATTGCCCCTACGGCTGACCAGGCTTCTGTTGGAGCTGCCACCGACTTTTGTCGCCTTGCAGAAAGTCCTTGTTGATTTATAATTGGTACTTAATGCGGGGAAAAAACTAAATGAATGCTGTTTTTCTCATTCTCATAAAAATATTTCAGATGGCTTACACATTTATGCATTAGATAGTTCATCAAGCAGGTTCTCGCCTATAAATACCTGGCCTTTTGGATTGACAATAATTTGAAGTTTAAAAAACATACGGATGAGCTAGTTAAGAAGCTGAGATTTAAGTATGCTTCTTTTACAGAAATAGATATTGCCTCTCCCTAAACAGCAGGAAGCAGATAGTACAGTCAACTCTCCTGCCAGTTCTTGATTATTGGGGACACCGTTTACCAGAATGCAACAGCCACTACTCTTAAACCGTTGTATGCCGTCTACCATAGCGCCCTTCGCTTTATCACAGGTGACCGTTTTAATATGCATCCTGTAGCAATAGGTTGGCTGGTCCTCATTAAAATCCTATAGATGACTTCATTACTCAGTTTTTTGTTTACAAAGCTCTACTACACAACCTTCCGACTTACCTAACTTCACTTCTAGATAAATCCGCCTTCAGTTTTAGTGCCCCCCCCCCCCCCCCCCCCCCCCCCCCTACATCTTGACACTCTGGTGCCTCTAGAGCAGTTTAGGACTTTAATGTTTAATTAATTTAATGAGAATTGCAACAGTTTGGATTGAATGTAAATCATTTTATTCGTGGTGTTTGAAGATGTAGTGTTGATTCTGTAATTTGTAGTTATTTGTATTGATCATTTTGAATTCGTTGTTGTCCTCAGGGCACCATTGTAAATGAGACCCTGGTCTCATTGGGTTCCCCTGAATAAATAAAAGTTAATAAAATGCAAAATGGGGTAAATCTAGGCCTTATGTAAATTCATAATTTTGTTAAATATATATATATTTTTTCTATGAAAACATATTCGCTTAAGATCTCACTTGGTGAAGTCCATAGGACTGAAAATAGATCAATTCAACAACCATGTGTCTGTCACTAACAAATACAGTAACTTCACAATTTACTTTAAAGGCAAGGCACTCTGGGAAATATTTGAATAAGGCTTTACACTAAACAGTGTGTTAATTTAATACTGTTCCGGTATATGGGTCCACAGACACAACACTTTGTTGTTTTTTTTAAACACTGGAGAATTTGCTGTGTAGCTAACAGGGAGGAAATTCGAGGGTGAGCACGGAGCGTGACTTGGCCAAGCTAGAACAGCATGTGAATGGTCTGAAGCCATTCGCAATCCACACCGACCGACTTCAAACCGACAGCCAGTCGCGGTCTGATGTGGTGCCGTGCTTTCTCAACCTCGAGGCACACTTGCAGTCAGCTACTGGTGCAAAACAGTTGGCACAGGTCCTCCTGAAGTCACTGTGAGCGCTTCGTATGCATACTGAATCCTCTGCCAGCCAACTTCAATCCAACTCCTGCAACAGCGTGCCCGATGGATCCAAGTGTGTTTCTGACACTTTGCTCAACAGAGAATGGAGCCACGGATGAGGGAAGCAGAATATTTTGTACTTCAGCAAATCAGAGAGTACAGCCGTGGAGCAGCAGGACCCCAGGAAAGAAGAATCCAGAAAGCATCTTGACCACAGTGCTTCAGAAATATAGCTTCCTCGCATCGAAGATTGTGTCTGAGGTCACTGTCCAGCCGGAGGGTCAACCTGGCAGGAAATTAAGTGCCCTATGTGAGCTGCGGAAATACCTGGTAAAGGGAGGCATGTTTAGAGAGTCCCTTCTCCAGTGCTGGCAGGCTGTTAATCCAAAGCTGTGCCCTGTGGCACTGGATCTGCTGTCTACCACTGCATCCCAAGCGTTATTGGACAGAATATTCAGCCTGTCATCGGGCTTGAGAAACTGAATGACCACCTGCTCTGGAATGCAGAGTCTTCTTGAAGATAAACCAGAAATTGTTGTTTGGTTTATCAGAAACACACACACACACACACACACACACACACACACACACTTAAAGCTGGCTGGCTGTGAACTGATAGATTTGTGAAGAAGTGTTGAATTGCTTAGGTTTTTGCTGTTGTTGCAGCTGTTTTTATTAACCCAATTTGAAGGGGTTAGTCAGTGATGCATGTTTAATATTACATAAACATGTCATGACTTCATTTGTTGTATTTCCCTCTCTCTCTTTGTCACATGACGGTACTTAAGGTACCGATTCTTAAGGTACCGAATCTTAAGGTACTTGATTCTTAAGGCACCGATTCTTAAGGTACTTGATTTTTAAGGTACTTGATTCTTCTACTGAAGTAAAAAAAAAAAAAAACATTGGATTGGTGTAAACATGGGCAAGAGAGTTTCCTTCCATCATTTATTGCACCAGTCTAGGCACCTATCCTTTAAATCCAAGTCACACTAGGATTGATTTCAGTAGAGGCTGCTGAGGGGAGGACGGCTCATAATAATGGCTGGAACGGAGCGAATGGAATGGCATCAAGCCATGTGTTTTGATTGTATTTGATACCATTCCTCTCCAGCCATTACCACGAGCCCGTCCTCCCCAGTTAAGGTGTATTTGATACCATTCCGCTCCAGCCATTACCACGAGCCCGTCCTCCCCAGTTAAGGTGTATTTGATACCATTCCACTCCAGCCATTACCACGAGCCCGTCCTCCCCAGTTAAGGTGGCACCAACCTCCTGTGATTCATTTACACTGAGTATACTAAACATTAAGAACACCTGCTCTTTCCATGGCATAGACAGACCAGGTGAATCCAGGTGAAAGCTATGATCCCTTATTGATGTCACTTGTTAAATCCACACAAAAAAGACGGAGGACCCCCCCCCCCCCAAAAAAAAAAAAAAAAAATGGTTAGTGGGCATGCTAGTATCAAAGACTGAGGATTCACACCACAGATCAGTAAGAAAGTCAGAGAGAAATTGGAACAAAACACAGATAGAACATTGGTGCAGTGTTCACATCATGCATTCCAACAGGCTGCTGCAGTGGATTGTCATACCCCGGCTGGTCCGGCTGGTAGCCAGGTTAAACCTGCTTTCTGCTCTAAACAGAAAGCACCTGCCTTCTCTCTGATAAAAGACAGCCATTTTTATAAATCATTCCAATCCTACGATCTTAGTAATTGATTAGATTTATATAACATTTCTATAGATTCTCATATAAAAATATAAATTGTTCCCCTTTTTAACTTATCAAAAGCAACTTTTAACTTTACCCAGAAAGCTTTCTGCTCTAACTTGTCAAACGAACTTGCTAGAGCATAAACATTTAATAATATAATAATAATAATAATAATATGCCATTTAGCAGACGCTTTTAGCCCAAAACGACTTTCTGCTTCAGCTTGTCAAGGCGACACAGCCATGGGCCCCACAGTTATGTTGGACTTACTTTGCAGCTGGCTGCTTTATTGAGAAATGTTTTACTTATGATGACTGTGTGATGGTTGTCGTACATAACTATCTTAAGATGAATGCGTCTACTGAATGACTCAAATGTAAATCTCTGGTCCAAAAATCACTTAACACCAGCTTGTCTGATGAACTCCAACCTCCATTGTTCCACACATTCTCTCCAAACAACAAACCATGCCCCCATTAGTGGTCAAAAGGTTTTTGGTGCTCCAAAGATTCGGTAGGGTATTCTGAGGGGTGAAATTACAGTACCATTCAAAATACTGCAATTAATTCCCCTCCAACAACATTTTCCCACAATGCACCATCATTTACAGTATGCTGCAGTAAAATGTTTCAGAGTAATTAACTACTGATAATACCCCAAATTACCGTATAAATTAGTGTTTCTGCTACAATTAGTAATCATCGAGCCATACTTATCCTCCCTCTCATTCCACTCCTTCTCTCTAACCCACTCCTCTCTCTTATCTCTCTTTGTCTCTTCTCTCTCTCAGTCTCTGTCAAGCCATCTCATATCCAGAGTCAGCAGACTAACTGCCGAGATTACCGTAAATTGTCTCTCTCTATCTCTCACGACGTACATCACTAGTGATCTCTCGCGAGATCGCGCTATACTCGGACGATCGATAGACGAGCAGATAATCTCTAGAGTCGTACGCTGCTCTGGGGAATATCATCTCGCTCATCTCTCAATCGCTCTCTGCTCTCTGCTCTATCTCTCTATCGCTCTATCATTGATTAATCCCCTGTTGAATTCTAACCCCTCCACATTCAGATCTGTGGGAGAAAATCACACAGACAGATACAGTATATTTGCTAACTTAAAGGAAGAAGTTGAATTTGATGAATGCTTCTTCTACTGGAAACTCATTTCCCCCCCATTTTTTCCACAGTGCTGAGGACCAGTGCACCCAGGCTCTGTACTCCAAGCCTCCGCCAGCGGGAGAGTCCAACCACGTAGGGGAGGGGAGCAGTCCTGAGGAGGTGGAGGTGTTGCTGTCCAAACAGAAAACCCCCAAGAAGCCCTCCTTCCTCCGCTCCCTCATCAGGGCTTTTGGACCCTACTTCCTCATCGGATCTGCCTTTAAACTCCTACAGGACCTCATCACCTTCGTCAACCCACAGCTCCTCAGGTAAGTAGAGCACTACGAAGCATTATAACTCCTTATGAAGCCTTTTGAAGCCTATATGTCAAGATGAACACGCTGAACGTGGCCTGAAATCAAATTAAGTTCTGAGTAAAGATAAAGATCTGTATACAGAGATATTGCAATATAGCAGCAGTAGTTCCTCTATCAGACCCATCATAGGAGCATTTGTTTCCTTGTAGCTTTACAGGATGACAGGACAACATTGTTCCTCTCACTACCACAGTATTTACCTGGACAGTATTTACCTGGACAGTATTTACCTATGTGGATTATGTAAGGAAATTATCAACCTAACAATCTATCATGGTCTCTTATCTCTAGAAAATAACGTTTTGCAGTGTTTTGGTCTTCATCCTTATTGGTCTTATTTGTATGTGATGCAAAGCCAACGTGTAAATGTCTTACCTGTGTAGGCTATCATGAGTGGGTGTGTATTTGAATGATGGCCGCCTTTCTGTGAAAGCCTAACCCCCTCTGTCGTATAGAGGGGGTTATTAATTATTTATTTCCTGGAGAGAAGAGACCGTGATAGATTGTTAGGTAGATAATGTATTTTCCATAAACCACATAGGTGTCATGGTGGTTAGCTCGTTATGGGAAAACTTCACCTCCCTTTGCTTCTTTTCTTTCTTCATTCTAGGACTTGCCCTTCGTTCATTGTACTTTCAGATCACACATTATTTGTTATACAGTTGAAGTCGGAAGTTTACATACACCGTAGCCAAATACATTTAAACTCAGTTTTTCCACAATTCCTGACATTTAATCCTAGTAAAAATTCCCTGTCTTAGGTCAGTTACGATCACCACTTTATTTTAAGAATGTGAAATGTCAGAATAATAGTAGAGAGTATGATTTATTTCAGCTTTTATTTCTTTCATCACATTCCCAATGGGTCAGAATTGTACATACACTCAATTAGTATTTGGTAGCATTGCCTTTAAATTGTTTAACTTGGGTCAAACGTTTCGGGTAGCCTTCCACAAGCTTCCCACAATAAGTAGGGTGAATTTTGGCCCATTCCTCCTGACGGAGCTGGTGTAACTGAGTCAGGTTTGTAGGCCTCCTTGCTCGCACACGCTTTTTCTGTTCTGCCCACAAATGTTCTATAGGATTGAGGTCAGGGCTTTGTGATGGCCACTCTAATACCTTGACTTTGTTGTCCCATTTTTCCACAACTTTGGAAGTATGCTTGGGGTCATTGTCCATTTGGAAGAACCATTTGCGACCAAGCTTTAACTTCCTGACTGATGTCTTGAGATGTTGCTTCAATATATCCACATAATTTTCCTTCCTCATGATGCCATCTATTTTGTGAAGTGCACCAGTCCCTCCTGCAGCAAAGCACCCCCACAGCATGATTCTGCCACCCCCGTGCTTCATGGTTGGGAAGGTGTTTTTCGGCTTGCAAGTTCCCCCTTTTTCCTCCAAACATAACGATGGTCATTATGGCCAAACAGTTCTATTTTTGTTTAATCAGACCAGAGGACATTTCTCCAAAAAGTACGATCTTTGTCCCCATGTGCAGTTGCAAAACGCAGTCTGGCTTTTTTATGGCGGTTTTGGAGCAGTGGCTTCTTCCTTGCTGAGCAGCCTTTCAGGTTTTGTCGATATAGGACTCGTTTTACTGTGGATATAGATACTTTTGTACCTGTTTCCTCCAGCATCTTCACAAGGTCCTTTGCTGTTGTTCTGGGATTGATTTGCACTTTTCGCACCAAAGTACGTTCATCTCTAGGAGACAGAACGCGTCTCCTTCCTGAGCGGTATGACGGCTGCGTGGTCCCATGATGTTAATACTTGCGTACTATTGTTTGTACAGATGAATGTGGTACCTTCGGGCGTTTGGAAATTGCTCCCAAGGATGAACCAGACCTGGGGAGGTCTGCAATTTTTTTTCTGAGGTCTTGGCTGATTTCTTTTGATTTTCCTATGATGTCAAGCAAAGAGGCACTGAGTTTGAAGGTAGGCCTTGAAATACACTGCTCAAAAAAATAAAGGGAACACTTAAACAACACAATGTAACTCCAAGTCAATCACACTTCTGTGAAATCAAACTGTCCACTTAGGAAGCAACACTGATTGACAATATATTTCACATGCTGTTGTGCAAATGGAATAGACAACAGGTGGAAATTATAGGCAATTAGCAAGACACCCCCAATAAAGGACTGCTTTGCAGGTGGTGACCACAGACCACTTCTCAGCTCCTATGCTTCCTGGCTGATGTTTTGGTCACTTTTGAATGCTGGCGGTGCTTTCACTCTAGTGGTAGCATGAGACGGAGTCTACAACCCACACAAGTGGCTCAGGTAGTGCAGCTCATCCAAGATGGCACATCAATGCGAGCTGTGGCAAGAAGGTTTGCTGTGTCTGTCAGCGTAGTGTCCAGAGCATGGAGGCGCTACCAGGAGACAGGCCAGTACATCAGGAGACGTGGAGGAGGCCGTAGGAGGGCAACAACCCAGCAGCAGGAATGCTACCTCCGCCTTTGTGCAAGGAGGAGCAGGAGGAGCACCGCCAGAGCCCTGCAAAATTACCTCCAGCAGGCCACAAATGTGCATGTGTCTGCTCAAACGGTCAGAAACAGACTGCATGAGGGTGGTATGAGGGCCCGACGTCCACAGGTGGGGGTTGTGCTTACAGCCCAACACCGTGCAGGACGTTTGGCATTTGCCAGAGAACACCAAGATTGGCAAATTCGCCACTGGCGCCCTGTGCTCTTCACAGATGAAAGCAGGTTCACACTGAGCACGTGACAGACGTGACAGAGTCTGGAGATGCCGTGGAGAACGTTCTGCTGCCTGCAACATCCTCCAGCATGACCGGTTTGGCGTGGGTCAGTCATGGTGTGGGGTGGCATTTCTTTGGGGGGCCGCACAGCCCTCCATGTGCTCGCCAGAGGTAGCCTGACTGCCATTAGGTACCGAGATGAGATCCTCAGACCCCTTGTGAGACCATATGCTGGTGCGGTTGGCCCTGGGTTCCTCCTAATGCAAGACAATGCTAGACCTCATGTGGCTGGAGTGTGTCAGCAGTTCCTGCAAGAGGAAGGCATTGATCCTATGGACTGGCCCGCCCGTTCCCCAGACCTGAATCCAATTGAGCACATCTGGGACATCATGTCTCGCTCCATCCACCAATGCTACGTTGCACCACAGACTGTCCAGGAGTTGGCGGATGCTTTAGTCCAGGTCTGGGAGGAGATCCCTCAGGAGACCATCCGCCACCTCATCAGGAGCATGCCCAGGCATTGTAGGGAGATCATACAGGCACGTGGAGGCCACACACACTACTGAGCCTCATTTTGACTTGTTTTAAGGACATTACATCAAAGTTGGATCAGCCTGTAGTGTGGTTTTCCACTTTAATTTTGAGGGTGACTCCAAATCCAGACCTCCATGGGTTGATACATTTGATTTCCATTGATCATTTTTGTGTGATTTTGTTGTCAGCACATTCAACTATGTAAAGAAAAAAGTATTTAATAAGATTATTTCATTCATTCAGATCTAGGATGTGTTATTTTAGTGTTCCCTTAATTTTTTTGAGCAGTGTACATCCACAGGTACACCTCCAATTGACTCAAATGATGTCAATTACCGGTAGCCTATCAGAAGCTTCTAAAGCCATGACATCATTTTCTGGAATTTTCCAAGCTGTTTAAAGGCACAGTCAACTTAGTGTATGTAAACTTCTGACCCACTGGAATTGTGATACAGTGAATTATAAGTGAAGTAATCTGTCTGTAAACAATTGTTGGAAAAATTATTTGTGTCATGCACAAAGTAGATGTCCTAACCGACTTGCCAAAACTATAGTTTGTTAACAAGAAATTTGTGGAGTGGTTGAAAAACGAGTTTTAACGACTCCAACCGAAGTGTATGTAAACTTCCGACTTCAACTGTATATTCGGTATGTTATGCTGCAAGACATTTTCTTAACAGTAATAATACATTTCAATTTATTTCCCCTTGCCATCCCTGTCCCCCCATCTCTCTCTCTCTCTCCCTCTCTACTCCGATCTCCCACCCCCCCCCCCTCTCTCCTCCCTCCAGATTATTGATCTCGTTCACGAAGCAGAAGGATGCTCCCACCTGGTGGGGTTATGCCCTGGCCTTCCTCATGTTCTTCACGGCCTTCCTCCAGACCCTCATCCTTCACCAACACTTCCAGTACTGCTTCGTCACCGGAATGAGGCTCCGCACCTCCATCATAGGAGCTATCTACAGGAAGGTGCACACAGGCGGAAGCATGCACACACAAACAGAAACACACACATTCACCACAGTGGCAAAAGTACTGAATCTTTCTCTTCTGTTCTTTCTTTCTTTCTCTCTCTCTCTCTCTCTCCCTAGTCTCTGATCATCACTAACGCGGCCAAGCGTACGTCTACGGTGGGAGAGATAGTCAACCTGATGTCAGTGGACGCTCAGCGGTTCATGGATCTCACCACCTTTCTCAACATGCTGTGGTCCGCCCCACTTCAGATCATACTGGCGCTATACTTCCTGTGGCTGGTGAGTGGCTTCTTACCGTGGAGTAACTAGAACACTGTATGGGGAGTAGATCGAATTAGATGATGTCTGTGTTGATTAGACATGCCTGGTCTGTCTGTATTGTCGAGCCAGGGTCCATCTCTGTTCTGTTGATAGGTTGATTTCTTGTTTCTGTGTTGATTGGTCATGCCTTGTTTTTGTGTTGATTTGGTCATGCCTTGTTTTTGTGTTGATTGGTCATGCCTTGTTTTTGTGTTGATTGGTCATGCCTTGATTCTGTGTTGATTGGTCATGCCTTGTTTTTGTGTTGTAGAACTTTGGTCTGTTTCTCTGTTGATTGGTCATGCCTTGTTTCTGTGTTGATTGGTCATGCCTTGTATCTGTGTTGATTGGTCATGCCTTGTTTCTGTGTTGATTGGTCATGCCTTGTCTCTGTGTTGATTGGTCATGCCTTGTCTCTGTGTTGATTGGTCATGCCTTGTCTCTGTGTTGATTGGTCGTGCCTGGTCTCTGTGTTGTAGAATCTGGGTCCGTCAGTGCTGGCTGGTGTTGCTGTGATGATCCTGCTGATCCCCTTAAATGCTGCCATCGCTGTGCGGACACGAGCCTACCAGGTATACACAAATCCCTCTACTACTCCGAGAGCTTATCGGTGGTGACAAGGAGTTGAAGTAGTGATGATGATGATGATGATTGTTATTAAGATGATAAAGTCTCTTATAGATTAAACAACCAACGTCTCTTCTAAGGGTCAAAGTAGAAACATGTGTCCAACTTGTTACCACAGAAATGCTAAGGGTTAAACAACAAAGCTCTGTAGAGATCTGCTGTGAGTTTGTACTGTTGTGCTTCAAACTCTGGGTTTGTGTCAGTTTTTAGTTTTTGTCTTTGAGCAACCATATCTTCAATCTAAGCCTACTAGAAAGTGTGTGCCCTCAGGCCTGGAGGGAAGCAAAAGTCATTCCGCTACCCAAGAATAGTAAAGCTCTGTTTACTGGCTCAAATAGCCAACCAATCAGCCTGTTACCAACCCTTAGTAAACCTTTGGAAAAACATTGTGTTTGACCAGATACAATGCTATTTTACTGTAAACAAATTGACAACAGACTTTTAGAACGCTTATAGGGAAGGACATTCAACAAGCACGGCACTTACACAAATGACTGATGATTGGCTGAGAGAAATTGATGATAAAAAGATTGTGGGGGCTGTTTTGTTAGACTTCAGTGTGGTTTTGGACATTATTGATCATAGTCTGCTGCTGGAAAAACGTATTTATTATGGCTTTACATCCCCTGCTATAATGTGGATAAAGAGTTACCTGTTTAACAGAACACAGAGGGTTTTCTTTAATGGAAGCCTCTCCAACAATAATCCAGGTAGAATCACGCATTCCCCAGGGCAGCTGTCTAGGCCCCTTTTTCAATCTTTACTAATGATATGCCACTGACTTTGAGCCAGTGTCTATATATGCGGATGACTCAACACTATACACGTCAGCTACTACAGCGAGTGAAATCACTGCAACACTTAACAAAGAATTGCAGTTAGTTTCATAGTGGGTGGCAAGGAATAAGTTAGTCCTAAATATTTCAAAAACTAAAAGCATTGTATTTGGGACAAATCATTCACTAAACCCTAAATCTTGTAATAAATTATGTGGAAATTGAGCAAGCTGAGGTGACTAAACTGCTTGGAGTAACCCTGGATTGTAAACTGCCATTGTCAAAACATTTTCCATACAACAGTAGCTAAGAAGGCTTCCGAGTGGCGCAGCGGTCTAAGGCACTGCATCTCAGTGCTAGAGGCGTCACTACAGACCCTGGTTCAATTCCAGGCTGTATCACAATCTGAGTCCCATAGGGCGGCACACAATTGGCCCAGCGTCAGGGCAGCATGGCTAGCCCTTAAATGGACACATAGAACTAACATTAATAATATGCATGTCAATCTCTCATGGCTCGAAGTGGAGGAGAGATCGACTTCATCACTACTTGTTTTTGCAAGAAGTGTTGACATGCTGAATGCACCGAGGTGTCTTTTTTAAACTACTAGCACAAGACATGCCACCAGAGGTCTCTTCACAGTCCCCAAATCCAGAACAGACTATGGGAGGCGTACAGTACTACATAGAGCCATGACTACATGGAACTCTATTCCTCATCAGGTAACTGATGCAAGCAGTAGAATCAGATTTTAAAAAACAGATTAAAAAAACACCTTATGGAACAGCGGGGACTGTGAAGAGACACACACACACACTCACAGGCACAGACACACGCTTACACATACACATGATAAGAAACACACTCTACACACACGTACACATTCATTTTTTGTATTGTAGATATGTGGTAATAGAGTAGTGGCCTGAGGGCACACACTTAATGTGTTGTGTAAAGTGTTACGAAATGTAATGGCATGTAATATTTTAAAGTGTATATAACTGCCTTAATGTTGCTGGACCCCAGGAAGAGTAGCTGCTGCCTTGGCAGGAACTAATGGGGATCCATAATAAACCCCAGGAAGAGTAGCTGCTGCCTTGGCAGGAACTAATGGGGATCCATAATAAACCCCAGGAAGAGTAGCTGCTGCCTTGGCAGGAACTAATGGGGATCCATAATAAACCCCAGGAAGAGTAGCTGCTGCCTTGGCAGGAACTAATGGGGATCCATAATAAACCCCAGGAAGAGTAGCTGCTGCCTTGACAGGAACTAATGGGGATCCTTAATGAATACAAAAACTATCAAAGCCTCTTTCAATGAGATGAAATACAGTGAAAAAACAACAGTGAGTATGCTTTCTAAATGTCCTCTCTCTCTCCCCCTTTACCCCCCTCCCCCTCTCCCCCCCTCTCTCCCCTCTACCCCCTCTCTCTCTACCCCTCTATCCCCTCTCCCTCTCCCCCTCTACCCCCCTCCCCCTCTACCCAACTCTCTCCCCCTCTACCCCCTCTCTCTCTACCCCCTCTATCCCCCCCCTCTCTCTCTACCCCCCCCTCTCTCTACCCCCCCGCTCTCTCTCTCTCCTCTATCCCCCCTCTCCCTCCCCCTCTACTCCCCTCTCTCTCTCTCCCCCTCTATCCCCTCTATCTCTCCCCCTCTACCCCCCTCTCTCTCTACCCCTCTACCCCCCCTCTCTAACCCCACCTCTCTCTCTAACCCCTCTACCCCCTCTCTCTCTCCCCCTCTATCCCCCCTCTCTCTCCCCCTCTATCCCCCCTCTCTCTCCCCTCTACCCCTTCCCTCTCTCCCCCCCCCTCTCCCCCCCTCTCTGCCCCTCTACCCCCCCCTCTCTGCCCCTCTACCAACCCCCCCCCCTCCATTCCCCCTCCTCCTCTCTCTCTCCATTCCCCTCCTTCTCTCTCTCTCTCCATTCCCCTTCTCTCTCTCTCTCTATTCCCATCCTTCTCTCTCTCCATTCCCATCCTTCTCTCTCTCTCTCTCTCTCTCCATTCCCATCCTTCTCTCTCTCAGGTGGAGCAGATGCAGTACAAGGACGCTCGTATCAAGCTGATGAACGAGATTCTGAACGGGATCAAAGTGTTGAAGCTGTACGCGTGGGAGAACTCCTTTAAAGACAAGGTTCTGGAGATCAGACAGAAAGAGCTCAATGTGCTCCGCAAGACGGCCTACCTTGGTGCTCTGTCTACCATGGCCTGGACCAGTGCACCATTCCTAGTACGGGACACACGCGCATGTACACACACACTGCATCTATATTATCCTTGTTGGACACTAGATACCATTTTGTATAAGGAAGGTCAACTCTTTGTAATATGTATTCATAAGACTAATAGTACACTCTAACTGACAACTGAAGTGCAGACCCATGAGCTGTCCAGAGGATCTACTTCTATGTTTTTATTCTTAATGTCTCCTTAGGTTGCTTTGATGACGTTTGCAGTGTACGTGACAGTGGATAAAAATAACATTTTAGATGCGGAGAAAGCCTTTGTGTCTTTGTCTCTGTTCAACATCTTACGGTTCCCTCTCAATATGCTGCCCCAAGTCATCAGCAGCGTTGTACAGGTAGGCTCTCCTACTCCTCCTCCTCCTCCTATCACCCTTCTCCTATCACTCTCCTCCTCCTCCTCCTCCTATCACCCTCCTCCTATCACTCTCCTCCTCCTCCTCCTTCTCCTCCTATCACTCTCCTCCTCCTCCTATCACTCTCCTCCTCCTCCTCCTATCACCCTCCTCCTACTCCTCCTATCACCCTCCTCCTTCTCCTCCTATCACCCTCCTCCTCCTCCTATCACCCTCCTCCTATCACACCTCCTCCTATCACTCTCCTCCTCCCCCTCCTCCTCCTCCCTATCACTCTCCTCCTCCTATCACCCTCCCCCCTATCACTCCCCTCCCTCCATCACTCCCTCCTCCTCCCCTACACTCTCCTACTCCTCCTCCATCACTCTCCTCCTCCTCCCATCACTCTCCTCCTCCTCCCTCCATCACCCTCCTCCTCCTTCTCTTCCTTCACTCCCTCCTCCTATCACTCTCCTCCTCCTCCTCCTATCACCCTCCTCCTTCTCTTCCCTTTACAACCTCCTCCTATCACTCTCCTCCTCCTCCTCCTATCACTCTCCCTCTCCTCCCTCCTACACTCTCCCCCCCTCCCCCTTTCCTCTCCTACCCTCCCCTATCCTCTCCTACCTCCTCCTCCTCCCCTATCACCCTCCTCCCCTTCTCCTCCTATCCTCCCCTCCTCCTCCTCCTCCTATCCCCTCCCCCTATCACCTCCTCCTCCCCCCCTCCTATCACATCCCCTCCTCCTCCTCCTCCTATCCCCCCTCCTCCAATACTCTCCTCCCCTCCTATCACTCCTCCTCCTCCTATCACTCTCCCTCCATCCCTCCTCTCCTCCTCCTATCACCCTCCTCCTACTCCTCCTATCACCCTCCTCCTTCTCCTCTCTATCCACCCTCCTCCTCCTCCTATCACCCTCCTCCTATCACCCCTCCTCCTATCACTCTCCTCCTCCTCCTCCTTCTCCTCCTATCACCCTCCTCCTCCTATCACTCTCCTCCTCCTCCTCCTTCTCCTCCTATCACCCTCCTCCTCCTATCCCTCCTCCCCTCACTCCTCCTCCTCCTCCTCCTCCTCCTCCTATCACTCTCCTCCTCCTATCACTCTCCTCCTCCTATCACCCTCCTCCTCCTATCACTCTCCTCCTCCTATCACTCTCCTCCTCCTCCCTCCTATCACCCTCCTCCTCTTCTCTTCCTATCACCCTCCTCCTCCTATCACTCTCCTACTCCTCCTCCTATCACCCCTCCTCCTCCTTCTCCCTCCTATCACTCTCCTCCCTCCTCCTCCTCCTCCTCCCTATCACCCTTCTCCTATCACTCTCCTCCTCCTCCTCCTATCACCCTTCTCCTATCACTCTCCTCCTCCTCCTCCTCCCTCCTATCACCCTTCTCCTATCACCGCTCCTACTCCTCCTCCTATCACCCTCCTCCTCCTTCTCCTCCTATCACTCTCCTCCTCCTCCTCCTATCACCCTTCTCCTATCACTCTCCTCCTCCTCCTCCTATCACCCTTCTCCTATCACTCTCCTCCTCCTCCTCCTCCTCCTATCACCCTTCTCCTATCACTCTCCTCCTCCTCCTCCTATCACCCTTCTCCTATCTCTCTCCTCCTCCTCCTCCTATCACCCTCCTCCTATCACTCTCCTCCTCCTCCTCCTTCTCCTCCTATCACCCTCCTCCTCCTATCACTCTCCTCCTCCTCCTCCTCCTCCTATCACCCTCCTCCTATCACTCTCCTCCTCCTCCTCCTCCTCCTCCTCCTATCACTCTCCTCCTCCTATCACCCTCCTCCTCCTATCACTCTCCTCCTCCTATCACTCTCCTCCTCCTCCTCCTATCACTCTCCTACTCCTCCTCCTATCACTCTCCTCCTCCTCCTCCTATCACTCTCCTCCTCCTCCTATCACCCTCCTCCTCCTTCTCTTCCTATCACTCTCCTCCTCCTATCACTCTCCTCCTCCTCCTCCTATCACCCTCCTCCTCCTTCTCTTCCTATCACCCTCCTCCTCCTATCACTCTCCTACTCCTCCTCCTATCACTCTCCTACTCCTCCTCCTATCACTCTCCTCCTCCTCCTCCTATCACTCTCCTACTCCTCCTCCTATCACTCTCCTCCTCCTCCTCCTATCACCCTCCTCCTCCTTCTCCTCCTATCACTCTCCTCCTCCTCCTCCTCCTCCTCCTATCCACCCTCCTCCTATCACTCTCCTCCTCCTCCTCCTCCTATCACCCTCCTCCTCCAATCACTCTCCCTCCTCCTCCTATCACTCTCCTCCTCCTCTTCATTCACTCTCCTCCCTCCTCCTCCTATCAACCCTCCTCCTCCTTCTCTTCCTATCACCCTCCTCCTCCCATCACTCTCCTCCTCCTCCTCCTATCACTCTCCTCCTCCTCCTCCTCCTCCTATCACTCTCCTCCTCCTCCTCCTCCTATCACCCTCCTCCTCCTCCTCCTCCTCCTATCACCCTCCTCCTCCAATCACTCTCCTCCTCCTCCTATCACTCTCCTCCTCCTCTTCATCACTCTCCTCCTCCTCCTCCTATCACCCTCCTCCTCCTTATCTTCCTATCACCCTCCTCCTCCTATCACTCTCCTACTCCTCCTCCTATCACTCTCCTCCTCACCCTCCTCCTCCTATCACTCTCCTACTCCTCCTCCTATCACTCTCCTCCTCCTCCTCCTCCTCCTCCTATCACCCTCCTCCTCCTTCTCCTCCTATCACTCTCCTCCTCCTCCTCCTCCTCCTATCACCCTTCTCCTATCACTCTCCTCCTCCTCCTCCTATCACCCTCCTCCTATCACTCTCCTCCTCCTCCTATCACTCTCCTCCTCTTACCCCTTCTGTCACTCCTCTTGTGTGTGTGTGTGTGTGTGTGTGTGTGTGTGTGTATGTGTGTATGTGTGTGTGTGTGTGTGTGTGCGTATATATGTGCATTGTGTTGACTCTAGCTTCTCTTCAGGCCAGCGTGTCTCTGAAGCGTATCCAGGACTTCCTGAGTCATGAAGAGCTGGACCCAGAGTCTGTGGACAAGAAAAACACTGCCACAAGTAAACATGGACGTTTCTGACCAAGGAACCTGCCCAAACTTGGCTGGGCTGGTTCCATTTCACTAACTAGGCTTTTCCGATAGGCCTTAGGTTTTCACTGACATGAAGGGATAGGATATAGGAAAGCTAGTGGGACGGGGCCTCTGAGGCAATCTAATGGTCTGTTTCTATTGAGTCATTCTAATGGTCTGTTTCTGTTGAGTCTTTCTAATGGTCTGTTTCTGTTGAGTCTTTCTAATGGTCTGTTTCTGTTGAGTCTTTCTAATGGTCTATGTTTCTGATAAGTCATGTTGACATTGGCCTTGCCATGGTGCGACTGCCTGACATTATTGCAGGCAGTTGAGTTTTCAATAAGTACCGATGGGGGTTATTGTAATACATTTTGGTTCTGCATACTGTAGTCATTACTCTTGGCTTTTGTAATATAAACATTTTAGACTCTACGTTGAGGTAACTTAAGGGAATTAGACACAGGGATTCCACAGTGTATAGTCATGGCTTATCCTTCTTGGCTCTGAGACAGTTTGAGTTGATACTTATAAGTGTCCAGTTTGGTAATGCTGTGTCATGATTCGTGTTTTTGTAACTGCCTTGCATTCCTACACTGTGTTCTCCCCTTCAGATAGCTCAGTGACGCTTGTCAATGGGAAGTTCACCTGGGCAAAACAAGATCCTCCTGCTCTACACAAGTAAGTTGCATCATGCAAAGGACAAATAACCATTTAAGGGAACAAATACACTTTACTGATGGGCGTGGGTGTGTTTGTGTTTGTCCGCAGTATAAACCTGATGGTGCCCCAGGGCTCTCTGCTAGCTGTGGTAGGACATGTAGGTTGTGGGAAGTCTTCTCTGGTGTCAGCTCTACTGGGAGAGATGGAGAAACTGGAGGGAGACATCTCCATACGGGTACGTCTGCACTCAATTAAATTATACTAACTGAAGGTTGATTGGTGGGTAATTTGCTTGAATGGGTAATTGATTGGTGGGTCAATGTATTGATTGATTGATTGATTGATTGATTGATTGATTGATTGATTGATTGATTGATCGATCGATTGATTGATTGATTGTTAGGGTCTAGTTGTAGTTTTCAGCTGTACGGAGTTCCCTCACTCCTCCTCTCCTCCAGGGTTCGGTGGCCTTCGTCCCCCAGCAGGCCTGGATCCAGAACGCCACTCTGAGAGACAACATCCTGTTTGGCAAGGCCTACAACGAGCAGAAGTACCGCTGTTGTCTGGAGGCCTGCGCCTTAACCCCTGACCTGGAAGTACTACCTGGAGGAGACCTGACCGAGATCGGAGAGAAGGTAGGGAATTTGGGATGTACTAAAATGGTTTTTTTGGAGCTTAAAGTTCATTTAGCCACTGAACAAACTTAGGCATTTGCCGGGAGCTAAATAGGTCTTCGTTTTAAAACAACAAATCAGTGATTTGCTAGTGTTTTTTCTCTCTCTCTCTCTTCTCTGTCTTCTTCTGTTCTCGTTTCTTCTGTCTTCTTCTGTCTGTCATTTCGTTTCCCCTTTTTTTTCGTCCCCTTTTCCCCCCCCCCCCTGCCCCCCGTCCCTCCCCGCCCTTTTCCCCCCTCTGGTCCTTTCTTCCTGGTTTTTTTTGCGCTTTCGTTTTAATGGTGAACATGTGGGTGTGGGTGTGTTTGTGTGTTGTGTAACCTGGCAGTAAACTGATGGTGCCCACGAGGGCTTTAGCTGCTAAAAAACATGATTGGGCTTTGGTGTCGTTAGTGTTTTGTGTGTGAGTGTTGTTGTTGGGAGTCTTGCTCTTCATTGTTCGTCTCGCTCGAGCTGACCGTTGAGTATCATT